CGAGTGAGGAAAAGTCGTCCAGGTAGGACTCTAGTCTGGCACTAGCAGGAGGTTCCAGGGCTGGACATATGCCCTCCCCACTTATTAACTATGGTGAGTGGCATGCAAGTGACTAACATTGTTAGTGACAGGGAAAAAGGCAAGAAGCCAAGAGCCCCAGGCTGAATCATGAGGGCATCTGAAAACAGGAAAAGAATAAGAGAGAACCAGAAGGCTCTGGCCAGAAGAGGCATCAAGGACCCAGAGTAAACAGGAGGTCAGGAGATCCAGGTGGAGACACTTCCTACCTTTGATGCAAGCATCAGTCTTCACATCTGAGCATTCTGAAAAACTAGCTTGCCTGACAGCTACTGTGACAGAAAACCAGTCCTCTGCCCAGCCCTCACCCACGGGAAGAACACTCCCCAGAAAATGTGCTGCCCATTGGTCTTCATTTCAGAGTCTGAGCTCCAGGGAACCCAGGAAATCAGGTAAAGTTCATCTTGGAGGATTAATTTATTTGAATTCTAGAGCAGGAGTCATTAAGTTACAGCCCACAGGCCAAAGCAGGCTCTCTGCTTGTTTTTGCAAATAAAGTTTTCTTAGCAATGTCACACTCATGTATTTATGCATTGTCTATGGCTGCTTTTGACTAAACAGCAGAGTTGAGTAGTTGCCATAGAAATTATATGGGCCTGATGGCTTGTGCAACCTAACATATTTCCTATCTTGTCCTTTACAAGACAAGATGAAGAAGGAAGAAAGGAAGGAAAGGTTGTTTACCTTGGTTCTAGATCATTTAGGAAAAATTACATTTGTAAAATAAGGCTCCCTCAAATGTCTTCTGACCCCTTCAGAAAAGAAGACTTCCTGAGACAGGAGAGCTGCTCTAATGTGCGTAATACCGAATTCCTCCTCACAGATAGTGACAAGTATACACAGTGCATGTGTTCTAATCAGCTTTTCATTGCTGTGACACAATAGTTGAAAATATAGCCTTGAAAGAGGAAAGATTCATTTTGGCTCATGGGTTCAGAGGTTTCAGTCCATGGTCCCCTGGCCCTGTTGTTTTCAGGTCTGTGACAAGGCAGAAACATGGCGGAAGGATGTAGTGAAGAAAAGCTACTCACCTTATGGTAGCCAGGAAAGAGAGGGGAGTGACAGGATAAAATGTACCCTTCAAAGTCATACTCCCAGTGATCTGCTTCCTCCCACTAGACCCATCTCCTAGAGTTCCCATCACCTCCCAATAGCATCAGCTGTCAACCAACTTTTTAACATATGAGCTTTGGGAATATTTAAGACAAAAAACATAACATTTTGATATCTTCCCATAAGAGACACAAGTGAAATAAAGCTTGCTCACTCTTAATATATTAAACACCATCCACTGCAGACCCATTTGGTGATGTGCTGGGAATTCTTATATTCTGTCACTCACATCTTTGCATATTATCAATGCCAAACCCCACCGGGAACTTCTCAGACCAGTATCACCAGAACCTATGCACTGACCAAGGGCATTCCAATGTAGAGGATTCACTACAGAGTACTGATACTGTCATAGACAGGTGTGCACAGAATTTTCCTAAATCTCTTCTCCAGTCACATCTAACATTAGGAGATTTTGTTCCATTTTCCTGGGGTGTCTCAGGAAGGAAGAAATCTTCAGAGCTAGTCCATGGATGAAAAACAAAATTGGCAATAAATAATGTGTATACACCAATAACGTTTCAGGTATGCACAACCAGTGAGGTCAGAACCATTTGAACTGATATTGTATCTATCCACAGAATAATATGAAGAACTGGATTTCAACCAGGGGAGGATTTCTGAGTCGATAAAATTGAACTGCATCAAACAACACGACTTTGTACATTTTGTCAGAAATTACTTCCCACCAAATATTAGTATTGCTCTATATATCCTCAAGCAGTCTTCATGTACCACCAGTCATAGTGATAGTGGAGGTGGGCCGACCACTGAGAGTCATCACAATCTTGACTGCTCTATATAAGGCTGCCCCTGGCAAGGGCCCAGCAGGAGCCACTACACAACTCTAGCACTTATCTAGCCACGTGGACTTGGGCAAATCATTTAATTTTCAAGCCTCACTTGTCTTGCCTACAAAATAGTAATAATGACATTCCTTTACAGAGTGGTTTGAATGATTCAATAATGAATATAACCCAGGGCCTGGCCCCCTAGGATTTTCATAACATATGTTGTGGTTATAGATAACATGATGGTAACAATGATGAACATGACAATGATAATAATAAATTTTTTATTATCTAAAACTATCTGTACAGTTCCCACCCCATGGTACCAATAGGATGCTTACAAAAGTAATGATAAAACATCAAGGACCAAGGAGATGTGCAAAAAGAGAATCACTTTCCATTCCTTCAGTATCAAAGGAGAACAGGTACCCATGTGCCTGTTGGGAAGCTATGTTTCAGTAGACAGAGGCTATCTGTACTGCATGAAGTGTTTCCCCCTTTCCCTGATCTTGGTAATCTTTCTGGATATATGTCCCAGAGGCTCATTCAAGAATACAATTTGTAGGGCTTTCTGTTCAGTGACCTAATAACTAGAACGAAAATTACCGACCCTTACTTTGTAGAATCTCCCAGGCAGCTGAATGTTAGTAAGCTAGCCTAGAGAGGATCCTGCTCAGGAGGTATTTTAGAGTCCTTCAAATAAAAACAATCAGATGCAGTAACTATGAAGCATGAAGACCGCTAATAGCATGTGTAGCCACAGGAGGCTGTCAAGCCTGCCTCAGATATGATTCCGGTTCAGACAGGAAAATACAAACAGATCCACTGAGTTTTAATGAGCACTGCCACAGTCTGAAAGCACTTGCATTAAGTCTAAAAAGCTCTATCAAGACTGAAGGTCAGTAAGCTCACCCTTACAACACTGTGCAGATTGTGCCAGGACAGACTGTGCTTGTTAGAGTCAATGAATTGTGCTTATAAATTTTAGGTAAGGATTCTGTTGCACGGACAGAAATGCTTTCCTGTCACCCAAGAAAAAATACAGTTTCCTGGAAATTAGTTTCTGAGTGAGAGTACACCCAAGCCCGGCGCCTCTGTGTGTGTGTGTGTGTGTGTGTGTGTGCGTGTGTGTTGGTATATACTAGATGTATGAGCCTCAAATGGTGGCCCAAGTTCTGTGGCTTTTGACATTATAATGGAGAGACCCTGAGTCCCATGGAGCCTCTCCCCCTTGAAGATTACATCTTGAGTAAATAGAACAGAATTTGTTTAAGGCTGAAGATCTTCAAGAGTACCCAGTTCACAGCCTGCTCTTGGTACCAAAAGAGAAAATAAGCTCACTTGTGTCATTTGTCCACATCCACTGAGCTAGAAAATATGAGCTTGGCAACTCTTTAAAAGGTGTATAAGGCTCCACTGGCTTCTGTGAATCTTTCCTCAAATGGTAGAACGAGACTACATGGTCTAGAGCCACTTACTACTCCAGATGTGAATCCTTGGTATCTATGGTTATTTTCAGAGATGTTGGCTTGATTTAACTTACACTATTTGCCTAAGAAAATCCCTTACAAGAATAGCCATTTCACAAAGCCATAATCAAAATCTCTGCGCCAAAGCCAAAAATAAGTTGGGGAATTTTCACTGCTTTTACTCCTCTGCTCTGAGATAAATGTTTGAGATCTGGCCTGAGTTATTTTTAAATATCCTTTGGTGAAAAGAGTTATAAATTCAAATTATTATTTCACATCAAGAAGCGCTATAAAGACAAAGATGTGCTTTCACTGGGGTAGCACGCAACAGTGCAGGTTGCCTATTTCTGGAATCTTCATCAATAAGGAAGATGAAGTGCCTAGCTCAGGCAATTTCTTTAAATACTAAAGTGGGGTTTATCTTTGGAACACGGGCGGCTGTTTGCATTTTCCCTCTCGCAGTAAGTCAGTAATACTCAAATGCATTCAGTGGTTTAATCAATCTGAAAGCCATGTCAAAATTGCTTAAAAATCTCTGAGCATCCAACATATATACTTGTTAAAATTAATTACATCATTTAACATTTCTATACACATTATAGTTTTAAATGTTTTACAGTCATTTTTATTAATTAATAAAGCCTTAATGGACAAAAATTGCACTGTAAAATTATTATGCATATGCTGCATTTTAAGTTTTACTACTACTATTATCTTTAAATATTTTCCCAAGGGCAAGTCACTAATTTATAATTCAGCTCTCTCACATAGAGCTGAAAATCAGAAGTTTACAAAGAGAAAGAAATCTGGATGCTTTTTTCCCCAAACAGACCTGCTTCCTCCTTTAATCTTCTTTAAAAAAAAAAAAGGTGAAGGGTCTCAGGGCAACCCACCATGGGAATTCCACCAGCCTTGGAAATGGCAGAAACAGCAACAAATCGCAGCTAAGCTCCCCCAGAAGATATAACCCAGGTCCAAAATTTACTTTTGCTGCCATTTGGCATGGAGAGTCTCCAACTTCCTTGTTTAGAGAATGTCCTATAGTTAATGGACACAGAAACACTCACACATATACACGTCATGATGAAGCATCGTGGTCTAGATTTTTATATTCATGAGGTCAGCTAGGCTAGCTCGTAAATATCAGCTAAGCCATTGAAAAGTTAAAAGTAAAGAATTATGGCCACACCCAAATATACAGATGTTTGACACCAGAAAGACAAAACGTCTGGTTGTAGAAGGCATGTGGATACTTATTGCCCTACTGTGGAGCATGATGTGGGCAGGGTCTAAATGAACTTTTTGGGCGGGGGTACCATTTCGTATCCGTGGCATATTTGAGAGAACTTCTCTTATAATCTACAAAAGGCTCATCTAGGAAATCTGTCCACTGGGATATTAACTCTGAGCTATCAGTTGTCAACGTCAAGAGATCAAAGCAACTCTTCTGAGAAATGCCTCTTGGAATAGGTTATGTGAAAGAAACTCAGTTCGCCTGGTAGCTGAGCACTTACACAATGACCGTCCTGCAAATGGAAGCACCACTCACCTGCCCTGTAACTCCAGCCAGGAATGTGAATGGACAGTTGGTTGCCATGACCGCTGGCCGGGAGAGTTGCATGGTGGTCTTTCCCTTTTCTGACAGTGACCTGGTTAGTTCCCACATCTGCGATTTCTATATTTTCCAGAGGAGGACAGTCACTCCAAGGACAAGTGCCAGTCTCCAAACGTTCCGGACCCAGTGAAGGATTTTCCTTCGAGGGACTTTCTGGTAAAGCTGGGTTCCAGGGCGGGCCTAGGAGGTGCTGGTTTCCCTCGATGAGCTCCTGCTTCCGGGCTCTGTTTATTGGCTCTCCGTTAGCTATGCCATCTACTCCATCTGCTGTTAACCCGTGGGAACTACAACTGAGGTTGAGTGACAGGACGGATCTGTGCATTTGGGGACTGACAACTTGAGGTTGCTCCACAGGGACCGAGAGAGATTTGTCCAAATAGCACATCGAATTTGGACACTGCCGAGACACCCGGAGGCGGACACAGGAAGTAAACATCAGCGGGTCCTTTCCGGAAGGCGGGGTGTCTGGCGTAAAACTGCTCTCTTTGCTGTCCACGTGTGTGATCCAGTATTCGTGACCTGCACACCTCCGCGCGTGGGCCTCGGGGACCTTCACTCTCACCACAGAGCCTTTTTTTGAGAACTCTGTGCAGGCGAGAGGCCCATGGCGTGGACGTGAGTGGGGAGCGCCAGCCCGGGCTGAGGGACTCCGGCGCAGAGCATCCTCCGCCCCACACTTGGGGCAGAAAGAGTCCCCAGCAGGGCCCCACAGCATGGCGCCGGCCGGGGGGCCCACGCGCCGCGCCGTGATGGTGATGGACGCGAATCCTTGGCGGGGGCTGCCACACACACTGTCCCCTGAAGGCGGCAAATCTATCTCTGGTCCTTGTTCCTCTGACGGCGTGGGAATTCCGAGTCTGTCCGGAAGTAACGCAAACGCCCTGTGGATGTTGACGCCGCTGGAATGAGCCGAAGCAGGCTTCGTGCGACACGCTCGAGGCTGAGCCACCGCACAGGGCAGTGGCAACGCAGCCACATTGTCTTTTGATCTGTTCTCATCAATCAGCTGTGAAATGACTATGGACGAAATCATTTTTGTGTTTTGTGATGCCAGAGTTTCCTGCAAATGGAAAAAACGATTCCAGTTATTCAAGCAGCCCATTGCAGTACAGGCTGTAATCTCTCAAGGGTCATCAGGATGCCAGAGAACTGGGTTCATAACACTGATTTCTTGCCCAAGGCTTTTTACTGCACAGCTGACACCCCCTCTGAGCGTTCAGAAGGGCAGGAAACCCAGCTGTGTTTTTGAGGAAGCTACATGTTCTGCAAACATTAGTCTGACCAGTGGGTTGGTTTTCTCTGCTTGGTCTTAAGTTATTATGTCTCTGGAAATGATTAGACTTTGACTCTCCCCTCCAACAGACACAGGGGTCCCCAAATACAAGTTCACACCCTTAATGAAGCAGAAAGATAGTACCTACCTGAGAGTGGGCTGGGACTTAGGCAGTGGGCATAGGGTGATGTGGGCAAGGAGCTAGCACTCATGCCTGGGAACAGTCAGAACGGTGACAAGGAACTTCCTTTCCACTTAGTGCAGTCTCAGTCCCCCACCGTGGCTGATTTAGCCCCTAATTCTGTTATCCTCTGCTGCTTGGCATCCCATGAATCTGAATTCCCGTGTGCAAGACAATGGAAATCACATGCCCAAGCTCAGACAATTAACCAGAGGAAAGACTGACAACCAGGTGATTTCCCTTATCAGGATGGGGGGAGGGTGGACCAAGACTGATTAGCACTACTGTCACGTTGCTGCATTTCAACACTCACCTGCGTAGGCCTGAGTTTCTGTTCACTATTTTCAAATGGTCAAGGCATTCCATGCTTCCTAATCAACAGACTTTAAGTGCTAAACAGTAAATCACTGGTGTGCCCAAAACTGTGTACTATAATTTTTAAGAAAGCATCACACCGGGTTGAGACCAGGAAAAAGAATTTCTTCTGACTTTATGTTTTGTGTATGTGTGTTTATCTATAATGCACTGCAGAGAGTAGTGTCTTGGTTACTTTCTCATTGCTCAGACCCAACACCCAAATTTAAAGGAGGAAAGATTTACTTTGGCTTACAGTTTGTAGAGGTTTCAGTCCCCAGTCAGCTGGCTCCACGGCAGAGCAGGAAGCAGCCAGCCTGCCTTCCATCTCTCTTTTTATATTTCTTTCGGGCTACATGCCTGTTGGTTTGTGCCACCCACACCCAGGGTGGGGCTTGCAATTACCCACACCCAGAACTACACTAAGCCAGTGAGAGGATTAATCCAATTTTCACCTACCCTTAACCAATTGTATTCACACACCCTCGATCCACCTCAGAAAAGCCCCACGAAGAGTACATGAGGCTTTGGGGGAGACATTTAGATACAAGACACAAGCAGCATGGAAGGCTAAGTATACCCTAATACCTAGTGGGTCTAAACAGGGTCCAGGGCCTTCTTTTTGACATCATTATACCTGCTTGCAATGAATGCTTTCATGGAAATGCACAGCACCCAGAATAATACTAGTAACTACAAAGTTCCTGCCAGTTGCAAAGAACCCTTGCCTTTGGAGTCTGGAGGTGCTCAGCCCTTCATGCAGCAGACCTTGAACTCCAACATGCATAAGAATCACCTGAGATATTATCCATTGCAGGTTCCCCAACTTAAGAGATTCTGATCCTGATTGTGAGTAGGAGCCAGGCATCTGCATTTTAACTTACATCCCAGTGATTCTGCTGTAGGTGACCCAAGGAGCACAGTTTGAAAAGAACAGAGTTGTGAAGCTGCTGGTTATCTTAACAGAACACTTTTTATAGGAGAAAGACCTTGTACGTTGGAAGACAAGATACTTGTTTTTCCCAAGATGTCATAAGCAAGCATGGTGACAGCTTTCTTTTCTTTGGGGAAGGATTAATAATCGTTTGCTCAAATAATTTAGTTTTCTCTTCTAGCTGGACACCAGACTCTTCATGTCCACCTGGCCAACAGAGGTCCAGCATGTGCGAACACAACACCCAGCCCTGTGTCTTTCATCCCATCTCCATTACCTTATGCATGTTTTTGTTTTGTTTTTAAAGATCTATGAAAAGTTGTAAATTCCAAAGATGACAGGAGATGGACTCGGATGAAGAACAAGAAATGTGTTTCATTGTTTAAAAAATGCACTTGTTTAAAAGGTACTTCTTTTTTTAAAAAAAATTAAAATATCTGTGGCTCTAGGACAAGAACAAAGACATCCAAGTTCTCATCCTCACTGCTGCCTCCCCCTTGAATGTTACCCGGTGTGTGTCACCCCCTGGAAGGGGTCTTCGATGCACCAGGCTTGCTGGGAGTCCTGTCGTGGGTGGGCCTCCTCTCCAACAGTACTTAGGTTGTGTCTGGCAAAACCCTAGCACTCAGGCCTCATCCCCACACTTTTAGAGTAGAATGCCAGGGTCAGGGGACATCAAGATTTTTACAGCTTTTTATATGACTCCAGCAGGTGGCCCCAGCTTCTGCTGCAGTCCTCTTACCTCAAACCCTCTCCCTGGACCACTTTTCCTATTTGATTTACAAACAAGAAAACTGGAGTACACCTGGTGCCTATTTGACTGCACACAGTCCCTTCCATTTTAGTTAAATTTAGTTCTGATAATAATTGTTCCCAAGCACCCCACAAGGTATATAATCATACCCAGTAGGAACAGCTTTGACACTGGTCTTTGGAGGAAAAATTAAATACCTATCTTAGAATGGCGGCATCAGTCCTATTTTAAAGCTTGGACCAGTGCTGACTACCTGCATAAAAAAACACCTGGTATGCATATTTGTTGGTGCCTCCCTCCCCTGGACCAGGTGAATCAGGCCCTTTGGGGACAAGGCCCAGAACTTGTATTTTTAAATAACTCTCCAGTGATTCTTCCACGTGGATGCAATGGAAAGGAGGCCGAGATGATTCAGGCCACTGGGGGCCCATCCTAAGCTATGATTCTCACACTAGCTCCAGGACAAAAGACGAGGTCTCAGTTTCAGCAGCTGCAGAGCAAAGAGAAGACAGAAGTGATGCCTGTGGAGACCCCAGCTTCCCTCCACGAAATCTCTGACATCAGTAAAGGTGTATTGACAGGTGTATCATCTCGGCATGGAACAGAAAAGACCCCAACACTGGTTACATGGTGTGTGCCACTCCCTGGAGGGAGTCTTCAACACACCGGGCCTACTGGGAGCCCTGTCATGGGTGGGCCTACTCTCCAGCAGTACTTAGGTTGCATTGCAGAGCAATCATAGCAGCTGTAAAAACCCAACATTTTTACAGTAGAATCCCAGGGTGTGGTCAGGAGGGGATGTTAGCCTGGCTCCACACTTGGGCTAAGACAGGGTTCTGGCCAAAGCTCAGTGACTACACCTGGGTAAGATACATGTCCTGGGGGCTGCAGATAGGAATAGGGAAGGGAAGATGGGATAAGGGCTCAACCACCATGTCATTTTCTGGGGACCGGCAAATGTGACTGTGATTTGACTCTGTCAAAATACAAAGGAAGAGTAATAACGAACAACATGAATTTGAACTTATCTATGAGGCTCCGGAATTGCTGTGTATGTCAAGGTGACACTGTTCCTGGGGGATAAACACTGATGGCAGCCCAGTTCCAAAAAAACATCTATTTGTCCTCTCTTGCTCATGGGGAAAGTATGGAGAGTGAAAGAGGTGACAGACAGATAGGACAATGTCTCTTAAACTATGAGGTCGTTGTGTAACTCTAGGGAGTTAACTTTCCATTATCCAGCAAAAAATCAGTGGATAACTGATATAATCCAACTTCTAGAAGAATGAGAGGCTATGCTGTCAAAACTTCAGCAGAGGGGCTGGGGATTTAGCTCAGTGGCACAGCGCCTGCCCAGCAAGTGCAAGGTCGTAAGTTCTTTCCCCCGTACCAGGAAAAAAAAACAAAAAAAAAACCCCAAACTTCAGCAGAGCATAAAGTGAGTATATTGAATTTATCTGTATTGAATAAATAAAAATAATTCCAGACATACTCAATACATTAAAGATTTGTTGCTATGAATGTGCAGAGAACCTATTTTTAGGTACAAATTGTATTGTTCATAATGTAAAAAATCATTTGTTCAATTACTTATTTGACAAATATTTATTGAGCAGGTACCATGCTGGGGGTTAGAGACATTTCATGGAGTTAACAGTCTGGCATTAATATCAAGTAGGTCATCAAATTACAATTTCAGCCTTGGAAAGAGCCCCCAAAATAAAGTGAGACAAATCAAAAAGACAATCTGGACTCCTTGCTCTTTGACATGCACAATCCTATTGGAAGTTTTATTTATCAAATCCTTTTTTCTTGTAGAGACACATTAAATAGTCAAAGATAATATCTAACCTTGAGATGGTCTATAATTGTTTGCTCCAGGTACCATGACAACAGTCACAGGCTGGGCGGCTTACACAGGGGCAATTTGTTGTCTCACAGTTCTGGAGGCTGGAAGTTTCAAATCAAGGGTCTGAAGCAAGGGCCCTCTGAGGCTTTTCTCTCTGGCTTCGGATGCTGATTTCTCCCTATTTTCTCATGTAATCTTCCACTGTACCAGTCCGTATCCTGTTCTTGTCTTCTTATAACACTGTTGTACTGAGTTAGGGCCCACCTTCATGATCTCATTCTAACTAGATTATCTCTTTAAAAATCCTATCACCAAATACGGTCACATTCCAATATGCTAGGGGTTAGGACCTCAACGTGTGAATTTGGAGGGAGCATAGTTCAGCCCACCATGGACTATGTGTTCATCATTTTGTGTCTGTACTTTTTATCTGAGTCTGGGAAATCAGGAGAGATGAAGAATTATTTAATGTTCCTAAGCCAGTTACTGCTTTTATTAAAACTACACAGGTTTAAAAATGTAATCACATTTTTTATGGCAAATACCTGACACTGTGTCTGCCTTTTAGACTGGGTTAACTGAATGTGGCCTTGAAAAGAGATTTCTTTCATCTAAATAAAGTTAATGGGTATAAGATTTGATTAGAAAGGAAGAAGAAAATCATCTTGTATTCAAAGTACTATTTCAAGGTCAAAGATAGGTCAGTTGCACAGCTGGGTTTTGTGTCTTGCTTTGGCAGTAAGCTATCCATTTCCTAACCATCACCATCCTGCACAATTTTACCTTTTCTTTCTCAAAGATTCTGCTTTAAAATATTGATTTCTTTTAAATGTTTCAAATAAGATTTTGTAGGGCTGGTAACTGCTTTCATAGTTTTATGCTTTTTTATTGACTGTTTTTAACTTGATATTTGAACCTTAAGGCATATTACTAAGAAGGGCATCATTTCATAAACTGAAGAAAGAAAGAGATATGGAGTAGATGATCAGAGAAATCAGATCCTGAGCCACTGGAGTGTGGATGCCTCTATTCCTGTAACAATTTATTTCACCAAAGGATAAGCATCTAATCTGATCTGTACCTTTGAAATCTGTATTTTTCTTCATGAGACAATTCTTTCCTCTTCTGTTGCTTCCCTGCAGCCTAAAACTGTATTTGCCGGATAGAATCTGGATACATCTCCCCACAGATACAATGGTTCCCTCCATGTCTACTGCAAATCTGCTCACCCCCATGGAGCAGATCCAGAGTCACCATCACTAGGTAATCTGTCAACCTCGTGTCAGTTCACTCCAAATGTTAAGAGTATTTTCAGACGTGTGCATTTGCTCTTGTGTAGAGCAATGGAGCAAGAGTTTTAGGACATGGGAAAATCCAAGCTCTTCTTGCCATCCATTGTGAAACTATTGTCTTTCTGCACAGTTACTAAAAACCAAAGGATTCATGCGGTGTAATATATAACACTGAAGAGCTGGCAAGAAATTTTTTCCTCCAGTGTTTTCACTGTGGTAAAAGATACACAAAGGGCTGGGGATTTAGCTCAGCGGCAAAAGCGCCTGCCTGGCAAGTGCAAGGTCGTGAGTTCGGTTCCCGGTACCGGAGAAAAACCAAAAAAAAAAAAAAGTACACAAAATGAAATTTGCCATCTCAACCACGTCAAGCACACATTTCAGTAGTATCAGCTCTATTCGCAATGTTGTACGGCCATCACTTCCACCCATTTCCAGAGCACTTTTCATATTGTAAATCAGAAACTCTGTACCCGTGAAACAAAACACCCCATTACCTCCTCCCTGTTGTCCCTGGCAACAACCAAGAATCAACATGCTCCGAAAATAGGGAGTGCGCAAGCAAATTATGGTACACGTAACTGCATTTTATATTGTACAGGTATTAAAAATAAAACTGTAAATAATTTCAATGACAAGGGAAATTGCTTTTGATGGAATGTTATGTATAAATGAGCACCATAAAAGTTGAAATGCCTTATAGTCTTAAGCTTTTGTAAAAAATACATGGGAAAAATAAAGGAAAACGTATATATTTCTATACATTCCTAAGTTTCTACATGGAGTTGTAATGACTTTTATCATGAAAACTTAAGTTTTTTAAAGAAGAGGACTCTGCTTCATATTTCACTCCTTTTAAATAATCACTTGGCAGAAGAGGTACCTGCCTATCATTGCTCTAGCTTTGATGCACTTTGGAAGGCAAAGTGATCAATCTTGTGCAGGCTCTGGAGAGAGAGAGAGATTGATGGCACCTGCACAGGCAGGGCATCTGTTGGCATGTTTCATCATCTTGCAGCAGCCATAGAACACACACACGTAAAAGCTCTAAAAGCTCAAAGTTAGGAGGGAAATTTGAAAGTCACACAACGGATCAAATTAGGTGATCTAAGTAATTCTAGGGCAAATGTTTAGAAGTTGCGATTTCTAGAAGTTAACTGGGACACAGAAAATGGCCAAATTGTGACTGAGTGACTATAAGTGTGTGTTATAGGGAGCTGACCACATGGCCCCGAAGATCTTTATTGTTACCAATGATCATATGCTGAGTATTCTTGATATCAACAAGAAAGTGCTGAAAGTTTCCAGCTCAATGTACAAAGCATGTGGGAAAGATAGGAAGCTGGTATCTTTCCTTTACTAAGAGTAGCAATCCATCCTAGCAGTGTTCCCCCAACCCCCATGACTCAATTCTGTCCCCTCATTGCCATCTCCTCCCAGCCTCCATTCTCAATAACTTCCTTTTTTTCCTGCTCATTTTCCTTCCTGAACCTGGGTCTTTGCTCACTCTCTCAGGGAACAAATCAATTATAACCACACATATTTATATCCTGAGACAGTGAGCTTGGCATTTCCTAATAGAGAGAGTTTTGAAGATCAATAACTAAATCTCAGGACCCAAAATAGCATCCATTCTCCGTCTCATGGGATTTGAAGCCTGGGGTACTTTGCTATTAATTTGGGGCCATGTAGCGCTTCACTAAATGCAGAACTGAATCAAAGTAATATTTGAGACAAGGATTTTAAGGGAAAGTTTTAACAGATATGTTTGCTATTTAAATTTGCTATGAGAGAACAATTTATATAATTTCCCTTCCTCTAAGAATTACAAAAGCTGGCAATAGAATATCCATGTGTGACAGACAACAGTTCTGTTTAAACTGTCATGTCTGGTATAAGTTTTTCAGGCAAGGAAGTCCACACTCTAAAGTTCTCTTAGCTGGAAGGAGCCTCCTCCTATTACAATCATTAAAACAAGCTAAGAACAGAAACTTCAGAGCCAGAGTCAGCACGTGATAAGTTAGCTATTAACCACGGTGTGGAGTCTTTTGTCCTCTAGAATCTGAAACATTGTGTTATATAAATATGACCTGTAATGTTTTTCCTTCTTTCATACCACTGACACTTTTTGTAGTTACAACAACATATACTCGCTTGTTAGACTTCAAAGTACTTCTTCCTGACCTTCAAAACCCTACATGGTATAATATTCTCTCTCTATTAGTTTCTCTAACAGATTGACTTTGGTGTAAAATTGATATCAGTCACTATATTCTCCTATTATTCTGGGAACTTACACATTGCTGGTAAAAATTATTGTAAAATTATTAAATACATGTATTGCATACTTTCATACAACAATTTTTCATCATTGTTGGCTAGATTTTCTGTTGTATTAATTCAATTTCTGACTAAATAAAATAAAATGCAAATATAGCACAAGTTGGCCAGCAATCACATTTTACAGTTGGGTACATTTTGCTGACTACTCTAGAAGTCACAAACATATATTACCTTGGTGAAGTCAGATTTCCTCTCTGTAACATCAGACTGGAGATTTCTAAGGCAAATTTGATCTTTTGTGCTGTAATGGTTGTCCTGTAATCCTAGACAAAAGGAGATAATGCTACTTTTAGTACATGAAAGGATAAAATGGGATATATAATTTTAACTTTACTATAAAATTTAATGTCCCCTATTCATGTTACACTAGCCAATAGTGAATTCAGTGTGTTTCAACCAATAATAAAAACCTTGTATATTTCCCTTGTTTATTCCACCCCATTCCATTTATACTGAGTCCATTATTATTTAGTTTATGAGGCTTCAAGATTCTTTCTTCCATATAGTTGTTTATGTCCCTTTGAGTCAGTAATAATTGAACAAATATAGCCTTATCACATTCTCCAGTGTCTTCGGTTTACACTCTGAAAGAAATCACATCTATAGATTTCCCAGCACCAACACAGTTAAGAAAAGGGGAAATATAAAGCAAACTTTCATCCAGTCTCTTAACCCAAGTATTATTAGAGGGCCATGGGAGACACAGACACTGACATCAAAACTGTTTTAGAATATCTGGGGTCAATTTTGAAATAATATTATAAGGCGCTGTGTATGTAATCCTTAACATAGGCCTTTCCATGGGTACCAGCCACAGGGGAAACTGAGAATAATGTCAGTTCTAAGTGCACATAATGCTGGATATGCCTACAGAAATACCCAGTCTACATTTGCTCATACAGTAAAGCTGCCTTGCACTGAGTCTTAAGTAGATTGCTTTTAAGAAAAAAGCATTCTTGGGGCTGGGGAGCTCAGTGGCACAGCACCTGCCTGGCAAGCACGAGGTCATGAGTTTGATTCCCGGCACCGAAAAAAAAAAAAAAAAAAAAAAAAAACCAAAAAAAAAAAAAAAAAAAAGAAAGAAGCATTCTTGGATGTGATCTGGGAATGGGGCCTTAGACAGAACTGAGACAGAACCTACGCCTTAGCTGTAGGCTCTCAGCACCAACAACCCCGAAGTTCTCTCACAGTGACCTTATCAAGCTGCTTGTGCAGGGAAGTGACTGAAACAGGAGAAGGCGTGTAAGAGAAGAGTGTAAGCAAGCCAAGCCAGAAGCCCAGATTTTGCACCCCAGGGTAACAATTTTGCTCCCATATTTACCCCCAACTTCTGGGGACAGTGATCTCTCAAGAGGCTACCACGAATAGTGCCCCAACTGCTGGTGCACTAGTGATAAGAAAAAAGGAGATTTCAGAGAGTGACTGTCCAAACCAGGTTCTACATGGGAATGGTTGATTGACATTATAATTTAAAGGATTTTATGGAAAAAATGATATAATATTTGCAAGTTTGGCAGATTTGCAAGGGGGTCAGGATGTGGCTTGAGAGAATTTCAAGGGCCATCAAGAACTGGTCAAAAGTCTAGCTCTATCTCAGTTTGTCCTTGGGTGACAATGAGCCCCCATTGGCGCTAACCCAGATGTATGGCTATGGCTCAATCTGTGACTGTTCCTGAGTGACAGGGATGATTATCTGAGATGATGTGCACAGATTACTTTTTGTGAAGCATGAACATAAGACCTGAAAGGTCTTATGGATTTCTGTACAGAGTTGATGCATCGTGATGAACTGACAATAAAGCTGATGAAGACAGAAATGACCTGGCTCTACCTGTGTGGCATTGTGCTTAAGAACTTTAGAATCACCAAGCCATTGAAGTCAGATGGGTCTGGATCTGATCTAGCTCAGCTCTGTGCTGACTTGTAGTAGATGAGCTGCTACCCTCTCTGAGTTTCTCTATCTGTAAAATGCAGACAATAGCACCTCTTGCAAAAATGCAATCTTTGCCCTCAATGTATGGAGGAAACCATATGTAACCCCCCTGGCAGGAGTACGGTAGAGGATTCATAGTTTATGAATGGCACTGTTAATGTGCATGATGGAGGCGGCCTTTCCTTAGGTCCAAGTAGCCACTAATGCTATGGCTCCAGTGGCCAAAAAACACTAGAAATGGTCCACGTGGTCCCACAGCCTGAATATGATCTCTGGCTATATTTTGGGTTTCAGGAAAGTTACTCACTGTCACCTTGTTCCTTGCTGTGAAATGGAGATAATGGCAGAGTTTACTTCAAAAGATTAAGTGATACAACCAACTAGCCCTTGGTGTGTTGCCAAGAACACAATGTCATGCAATAAATACCAGGTATTGGGAAGTGCCTCATCTCCAGCAGGAAAAGGAGAACTGCCATGATCAGTGTGAATTTCCTGTGGCTGATATAACAAATGACCACAGTACCCAGTGCATCATCCTATAGTTCTGAGGAAGTCCAAAATGGGTCTCACTGGGTTAAAATCAAGGTGTCAGCAGGGTTGCATTCCTTCTCAGAGGCTTTATGGGAAAATTATTTTCCTATTCTTTTACAGCTTCTAGAGACCACTAGCATTCCATAGGTCAAGGCCCAGCATCACTCCATCCTCTGCGTCCACCATCACACCTCCTTCTCTGGACTCTGCGCTCCTGCCTAATGGGACCCTTGGATTAGAATGAGCCCACCTGGATAATCTAAGGTGATCTCCCATCCCAAGGTTAGTGGCTAGATTATATCTGCCCTTTTGCCATACAAATTGACATACTCATAGGTTCCTGAGATTAGAACAAGGACAGTTTTGGAGATATCATTATTTCATCCACCACAAACTAGACTCCAGGAAATGTATTGGATGAAACATAGAGCCTTTCAAATAATGAATATGAAGTCTATGTAGCACCATGGAAAAACATTTATAATGCAGCATTTACCAAAAGAAAGGAATTGAAAGGCTATGAACCACATGACTGTAACATTAAAGAAAGTGTGGAGGGGAGTCTACAAAAGCAGTCAAGTAGTAACCACATTAAGAAATCACCCTGGTTAAAGGAACTGACCAAGCACGTGCAAGCCCTATGCAAATATAAAATATAAGGTCTTGTCTTAGGGATTGAGGTTTGAGAACAAACTCTAGTTGTGAGGCTTGGCATAATGTACTTAACCTCACTGATTGTGGTTTCACCATGTAAGAAATGAGCGTAAGATAATGACACTGTGCCCTGCTCAGTTCCTCTACTGAGGGGCCGCCACATGTCCCTGATGTTAGCAGGTCATTGTAAATAGTTCACAGCTTCCTTATTTCTGAAAATTATTCTTCATGTTGGATCACAGCCAATGTGATTCGTATTGATACAAAAGTCCCAGACACCGCTGTCGTTCATATTGTAGTACAGAGCATAAACTAAAGGTGGGATTGTACCTCAGACAGCCTCCTAGCATGGTTCTTTCTCCTTCCTCTCTTGTGTATCATGGGTCTTTTCTGGAAGAGGACCTCCATTGTGCTCGCATTCCCTGCCTCAGGCTTTGCTTCTTGGAGAATAACTAGAGCTGGTACTGCCTCCTGGTGCTGCCTTATAGCAGGGCTCTCAGGGAATTGTCCCAGAGCAGCACCAACATGACAGAAGAGTGTGAAAGAAATACACATTCGTGGGTCCTATCAACTAATCCAAAAACCTACGAGAGAGGACTCTGCATAGTCCTAGACCATCTATGCCTAGTACTAGGCAATCTACGCTTAGTCAGCCTTCCTATGATTAGTTAGCCTTCTGAGGAAGCTCAAATCCAAGCACTTGTTGGTCTTAGAACAACACACCCTTTATATGGTGAGTCTGAAGGCACAGAAAGGAACCATATTGCTTTGATTCAAAAAATACCCCATGACTTTTAGAAAGCCATGTCTAACCTGTGGTCATGGATATCAAAACAAGACTTCAGTTAGAACAAAACTGTCATGAAAGCCAGCGTGAGAACTTTTGTTTTGAAAAGCACACTCATTTAAGTGCCACTGTCATTGTGGATTCCCAAGATGGCTGAGTTTGGTGTCCAGCTCTCTGGTCCTCTACGCCTGCAGAGTGTGTGTCTGCTTACACAGAGTTTTTCTCTCTGGTAATGGTTGGAGGGATTGGACTTTTGTTTCCAGTGGCCAGATCCACACACCTAAAGTTATTCTGGCTTTGAGACCCTTCCCAGAGACTCAAGGAACAATGGAACCCAGCTGGGCAGGAATTTGTGCAGCAGACCCTGGGCTGAGAAGCAAAGTGTGAGAGATGTTCTCTCTTTCTAGAAACTCTAAGGCAAAGTATCAGCTCTGTGGTCTCAGGCCTCAAAAGCTTCAAGAACTTTTCCAGCTGAGGGCATTCAGAAAAGTTCAGGTAAGGGTATTTTCCTTAAAATGACTTTGTCCAATGGAATGGATTTAAATAAAAGTAAAAGTATATGTGGAAGAAGGCAGCACAGCCCAAATAGATGTCAAAGGGAAAGGTAGAAATAGCTTAAGATAAAGTACAAAAGCAGGAAAACCCAGCATGTCTGGAGAAGAGCAAGTAGTGCACTGGGGAATTATAGGACATGGTCAAAGCATCATATACCTTTGCTGCATGTCATACAACACTGCTTAAGTTGTCGCTACAAAAAAGGTAAACACCACCATCATGTATGCCTAATGAATCAGTCCAGCAAAGTGACATGCAAAAGATCAACGCTGGCCTATGGTTTGTTTGGTGAGTTTACTTCCTTCCATATCTACATCAGTCACACCAGAAGTGGAGAGGTGCATTCAAATTCCCACTCAATGGCTTTTAAATGCCTTCTTTCACATCTAGTCCTGTAGACATCAAGGTTTACTCTGTATTTCCAAGAGATTCTTAACAATATCTCTTTTTATTATTTGAGAATAGATGTTCCTCAGAGAGACTCTTTTGAGATTTGGATTTGACTAATCATCTCTGTGATATTTGATGCTACTGACTACCCAGTGCCTCTGGAAATTCTTTCCATCTTTGACCTTTGCAAAAATGTGGTCTTCCTGTTGTGTTTTTGTTTTTGTTTCATTTTTTGAGACAGAGTCTTGCTAAGTAGTCTAGGCTGGCCTTGAACTCCTGATGACTCTCCTGCCTCAGCCTTCTGAGTGCTGGGATTACAGGTGTGTGCCACCATTCCTGGTTCTTCCTGCCATATTTCTACCTCCCAGCTAGTACATCTTACCTTCTTTGGTGGGTTCCATTTTTGACGCCCT